ACACACCTTTCCTGATGTTAAACCATTTAGTGTCTCCTGTTCTGTTAGAATAGCTGCCTCTCGGACTATGTGAAGGTTCCTCATGAACGAAATTAAGTGTTCCAGAATACTTATTCTCTGCATGTTGTCCCCAGCTTGTCATGATCTACACAGTCAGAAGCCTTTGCAGAGTCAATAAAGCACAGGTAAACATCTTTCTGGTATTCTCTACTTTCAGCTACGATTCCTCTGATTTCAGCAAGCAGTGATATCCCTCATTCCTCGTCCTCATCTGAAAACAACTTGAACTTCTCGCAGTTCCCTGTCAATGTACTGTTGCAGATGTTTTAAAATTACCTTTAGTAAAATTTTTTTGCATGTGAAATTACTGATATTGTCTGATGATTTCTGCATTCCACTGGGTCACCTCTCTTTGGAATAGACACAAATATGGATCTCTCGCAATTAGTTGGCCAGGTAGCTGTCTTCGAAATTTATTGGCATAGATGAGTGAGTGCCTCCAGTGATGCCTCTGTTAGTTGAAAGATTTTAATTTTCATTCTATCAATTCCCAGAACTTTGTTCTTTGCCAACGCCTTCAGTACAGTTTAAACTTCTACCTTCAGTACCATTGGCTCTTGGTCATAAGCTACCTCTTGAAATGACTGAGCATTGACCATTTCGTTTTGACTCAGTGACTGTATATATCTTCCATTTCTTTAGATGCTTTCTTCATTATTCAATATTTTCCCCAAATAATCCTTCAGTATTTCAAGTCAAGGCTTGAATTTTTTCCTCAGTTCTTTCAACTTGAGAAATGCTGAGCATATTTTTCCCTCGTGGTTTTCTAACTGCAGTTCTCCCATATGAACTATCACATTGTTCACAATAAAACATTTTAAATAAATAAATAAAAATAAAATATAATCATTAAGTTCAACAAATATTTACTGAATATCTATACTACTCAATTCTAGATACTACACATACAGTAATGAACAATCGACTTTATTATGCTCGAAGCGCCTTCATTTTTACAATGGAGCGGGAAAGATAGCAAATAGTTTAGACTTATTATAAATAACAATGAGAATTTAGGAGAGTGATCCAGGGTACAAAAAAATATTTAAATAGGTGAAGGATTGTGAAAATTAGCAACAGGGAGAAGGGAGTGTTACCTCATGGTATGGTACTCCAGGATAAGCACTGAACTACTAACCACAAGGTCAGTGGTTCAAACCCACCAGCTGCCTCTTCAAAACCCTATACAGGGTCACTATGAGTCAGAACTAACTTTAAGTCACTTAACAATAACAACATCAAATATACTATAACCAGCTTGCCAAAAGACAGCCTCTCTTCCTTTTGGCATCCATTCATAGACATTGAGCCATTACTGTCACATACAACACCTGTGAAGCAGTTTCATGCGATCTCATATTACCGAACAGGAAACCAAGATGACTATGAATCTTTGAAAACTTGGAAAGAACAGATAGGGATGTAAAACAGCTTAATGAATTAAACTGGCCAAGAAGATTGATAAGAGAGACATCTAGCCAACACAGAGGAATATTGTAAGTACCTAATCAACATGCTTTCCAAATGTGAAAAACAAAACTCAAAAACTCGTATTTTTTTTTTAATTTAAATTACAATCATTCACATAAGCTTTCAATATATATTATTCAATATACTGATGCACTTTCCAAAACAGTAACCAAAAAATAAATTACATGTGTTGTATAACTGAGTTCTGCAAAATGCATTAATTTCAAAATTAAATGTGAAAGTTTAATTTGCTAAATTGCTATTATGCCTCAGGTCATTAAGCTTATGATTCAAATTGTGAACTCATACACCTGGCAACCTTTTCACTTACATTAGCAACCACTGTCTGTAGCATCCTTTAGGGCTTAGAGTAGATAATCAAGCAATCTTACCAAATGAGAGAGTGATGGTGGTGGTAGTGGTGTGCCATCAAGTCGATTCCAAATCATAGAGACCCTGTATGGGGTTTCCAAGGCTATAAATATTTTGGGAAGCAGAAAGCTTTATCTTCCTCCCATGAAGGGGCTAATAGATTCTAACTGTTGTCCTTATGATCAGCAGCCCAATATGTAATTCACTGTGCTCCTTAAATGAAAAAGAGTACACTCCCAAAGAAATCCAATACTTTTCCAACTCTCAAAACCCTCCAAACATACTGCTTACCTCTGGTATACAAGTTCCTGTGAAACCAAACAAGCCATTGGCATTGTCACTTTTTTGTACTATTAATCTAGCTGTAGTATTTTCTTCAGAAATGCGAGCTCCTCCATATACAGACACTAGTTTAAGAATGAATAATTCTTCTCCTTCTTCTTCGTTGTCATCTCTTGCAGAAACAATGAATGATTTGTTAGCTTCTCCTTGCCTGAACTCCATATATCCAGAAATGGGGTGCAAATCACTCTTTGCGGGCATGGCATGAAGTTCATAAATTTCTTCAAGGGTCAGTTTCCGTTCATAGGACCTCACATCCTGCATCAAACCTGTAAATCTGTCATTGCCATTTATTCCTGCGCCGATTCTCAGAATCCCAGGACCTGAAAATAGAGATAGGTATAAATGTTCCTATATTCACGATTCTCCTATCCTAAATTACAAATATGAGTTAAAATGTGAAGCTATTTTATTGAAAAGTATAAGAGACTTTTGTATGACAGGTAAAAAATAAGAGAAAGGCTATCTTTTGTCATGATAAAAAATGAGCCAGTACAGCCAAAGACATATCAAGAAATGTGCACAATCATTAGCCATTAGAGAAATATAAAGTAAAACAACAATGAGATATCATCTCACACTAGCATTAATAGTAAAATTCAACAAGACAGAAAATAACATATGTTGGTGAAGGTGTGGAGAGATTGGGACATTCCTCCATTGCTGGTGGGACTGTAAAATGGTTCAATCACTCTGAAGAATGGTATGGTGATACCTCAGAAAGTTAAAACTAAAAATAGCATATGACCCACCAATGCCTCTACTTGGTATAGGTTGTTGTTGTTGTTGTTAAGTGCCGTCAAGTCAATTTTGACCCATAGTGACACTATATAAGGTTTCCTAGGAGTGGCTGGTGAGCTTGAACCACCGACCTGATGGTTCAAAGCAAATTTATAGTCCTGCCACAGGACCACACAGCCACAAGAAATAAGAGCCAGGACACAAGGAAATATCTGCATATTGATGTTTATCACAGCACTGTTTACAACAGCGAAAAGATGGAGATGGTCTAATTGCCCATCAATGAAAGAATGGATAAACAAACTTTGGTCCATCACACAATGGAATCCTATGCAATGTTGAAGAATAACTATGAATCTGTAAAACACTTCATAACAGAGATAAACAGAGAGGGCATTATACTGAGTGAAATAAGTCAATCAAAAAAGTCAAATATTGTATGAAAGCACTATTGCAAAAACTCAAGTAAAAGTTTTCATACTAAAAGAAACATTTTTTGATGGTTATTAGCGCTGGGAAAGACAGCTAGCAGATAGACACATGTTAACTTGGGTGACGAGGAGCGCAATATACAAGAAGAGAAAGGCTGGCAGAAGAATGATGAAGATGGGTGAAAACACAGGGAGGTATGCAAGGGCTAAGCGGGTAAAGGTAAATAGTGATATATAAACAACCTTGGAACAACAGTTTTCTGTGTGTGGATACATGGACAGACATGCAGGCTAACTCTGTATTGGAGGACAAGTGGAATATATATATATACTTATACATCCCACCTGAATTTAGAGATCATCTGAAGAACAGATTTGATACATTAAACACTAAAGACTGAAGACCAGAAGAGTTGTGGGATGACATCAAGAACATCATACATGAAGAAAGCAAAAAGTCATTGAGAAGACAAGAAAGAAGAAAAAGGTCAAATGGGATGTCAGAAGAGACACTGAAACTTGCTCTTCAGTAGAGATACTAAAGCAAATGGAAGAAATGAGGAGGTACAAGAGCTGAACGGAAAATTTCAAAGATCAGCTTGAGAAGATGAAGCCAAATATTACAACAAAATGTGCAAACATCTGGAGTCAGAAAACCAAAAAGGAAAAACACGCTCAGCATTTCTCAAGCTGGGGGACTGAAGAAAAAATTCAAGCCTCAACTTTTCATTATTGAAGGATTCTCTGGGCAAATTATTGAATGATGCAGAAAGCATCAAAAGAAGATGGAAGGAATACACAGAGTCATTGTACCAAAAGGCAGGGTTGATGTTCAACTGTTTCAAGAGGTAGCATATGATTAAGAGCCAATGGTACTAAAGGAAGAAGTTGAAGGTGCATATTGAAGGAATTGGCAAAGAACAAGGCAACAGGCACTGATGGAATACAAATGGAAAATTTTCAAGTAAGTGAGATGGCACAGGAGGCACTAACTTATCTATGCCAAGAAATTTGGAAGACTGATTGGAAGAGATCCATATTTGTGCACATTCCAAAGAGAGGTGACCCAACGGAATGCAGAAATCATCAGACAATCTCTTTAATACCCCATGTGAATAAAGTTTTACAAAAGTAATAAAAAAACGGCTACATGCATACATTGACAGAGAACTTCCTGAGGTTCCAGCCAGATTCAGAAGAGGCCATGGTACGAGGGATATCATTGCTGATGTTTGATGGATCTTGGCTGAAAGCAGAGAATATCAGAAAGATGTTTACCTACGTTTTATTGAATATGCAAAGGCTTTCAATTGTATGGACCATGAGAAGCTATGGACAACATTGCGAAGTATGAGTATTCTTGAACACTTAATTGTGCTCATGAGAAATCTGTACCTGGACCAAGAATCAGTTGTTCAAACAGAACATGGGAACACTGAATGGTTTAAAATTAAGAAAGGTATGTGACAGGCTTGTATTATTTCACCATATTTATTCAACCTGCATGCTGAGCAAATAATCTGAAAAGCTGGGTTCTATGATTGAAAAAAATATGGCATTAGGATTGGAGGAAGACTCATTAACAACCTGTGATATGCAGATGATACAACATTGCTTGCTGAAAGTGAAGGGGACTTAAAATATTTACTGATGAAGATCAAAGAGCACAGCCTTTGGTATGGGCTGCATCTCAATGTAAAGAAAACAAAAATTCTCACCACTGGAACAATAAACAACATTCTTATCAATGGAGGAAAGACTGAAGTTGTCAAGGACTTCATTCTTCTTGGATCAACTATCAACACTCATGGAAGCAGCAGTCAAGAAATCAAACAATGTATTGCATTAGGCAAATCTGCTGCACAAGACCTTTTTAAAGTGTTGAAAAGCAAAGACGTCAGCTTGAAGACTAAGGTGTACCTGACTCAAACCCATGGTATTTTCAATAACCTCATATGCATGCGAAAGCTGGACAGTGAATAAGGAAGAATGTAGAAGAATTGATGTTTTTGAGTTTTGGTGTTGGAGGAGAATATTGAAGATGCCATGGGCTGTCAAAAGAACCAATAAATCTGTGTTGGAAGAAGTGCAGCCAGAGTGCTCCTTGGAGGCCAAGATGGCCAAACTTCGTCTCTCATACTTTGGACATATTGTCAGGATGGACCAGTCGCTGGAGAAAGATATCATGTTTGGTAGGTTGGAGGGTCAGAGAAAAAAAGGAAGACCCCCAGCGATATGGATTGGCAAATGGCAGCATCAATGGGCTTAAGCATGGCAACAATAGTGAGGTTGGCTCAGGATCAGGCAGTGTTTCACTCTTCTGTGCATAAAGTCGCTATGAGTCGGTACTGACTCGATGACACCTAACAACAACAACAATACATTCCACAAATATATAAGAGTTTGAAAGCGGATATTTGTACATGGGCAATCACAGAGAGGAAGTGAGACAATATTCTTGCACTGAAGGGATTGTAATGATTGAAATGAAACAAAGTATATGATTTGTTCAATGCAAAACTGATGATCTTGTATATAAACATTCACTCAATTCACAATGAAAGGCTAAAAAAAAAAGAGCCAGTAAAGTAGTTATTAGCAGGATTATAATAGTTAAAACTAAAAGAATTTGTTGTTGTTGTTAAGTGCCATTGAGTCAGTTCCAACTCCCAGTGACCATGTATAGGGTTTCTGAGGTATGGCTAGTGAATTTGAACCACTAACCCTGTGGTTCAAACTGACCTTGTGGTATAGTGCTTATCCTAAAATGCCATACCAGGACTCCAAGGAATTAGTAATTTATCTTTAATTTAGATGATATCCTTAATGGTAAATTTTATCAGCCAGTCAAATCACATTTCTGGACAGAAAAATAACTAAGTATATACATAAACTCATAGTCACATATGTGTGTGTTTAATGATTCAATTTAGTTACGATTTTTAAATTTCATTATTTATAACTATCAAGGCTTGATTGGCTAGAAACTCATCTTGAGTCAAATAAAATTGTCAGGAGCCAGCAAAAAGTTTTGTATGAAACAATTATATTTCTTTATCCAAACAACTGTTGAAATCAGTGTAGAAATAGTATTCCTTGCCAGAAACAGCTTCAATGTGAGTCTTAGGGACTTTTTCATATTAACAACATGCAGTCCAACTATGTCACTATACCTCTATAACAACCCTAATTAGGAACTCATGAGTTATTACTTCTTTCCTTGTTCCCTCAGCAATAATTTAGCTATAATATTTATGTAAGAGAACTTGATAGTGATTTTGTATAAATAAATGACATGTAATATTTCTTATCAATAACCTCGATGAAAACAGTTTTACAAGTTGCTACCCAGATAGTTCTTTGAGGGTATTTACAAGCAACTTGCATATTATTACCACTATTGCTCCCACATCTAGTATGGTGGTTGTGGATTGACTACTAGTCTGTTCAGTAACCAAAGCCACTCCGCACTGAAGCTCCAGATTGGGTGGGAAATTCCATGCTGATGTCTCACCTATTGAATTATCTGTCAACTGTTGTTGTTGTTGTTAAGTGCCGTCGAGTCGATTCCGACCCATAGCGACCCTGTACAGGGTTTTTGAGTCTGTCAACTAAATGATATTAAATTTCCTCTGACTCTCACAAAGTCACATACACAGGTCTCATCACCTTGGAGACTATCGATAAATAACCCCATCTGCTTTCATTTTGTTTCTATTGTATACTAGAAAGAACAAAGAGTCAAAGGTTTATATTCAACTCTGTTACTTGGCTGTGTGATGCTAGCCAACTTATTTACTCACTCTAAACTCTATTTCCTTAGCCATAAAATATTTAATATGCAGAATTATTGTGAAGTCCAAATTAGGCAGTGTATGCAAAATACCTTGTAAAAATAAAACACTATGCAAGTTTGAGGCATTCTAATTCTTTGCTTCTATGACTAATTCTCTGTAACAAACAGGACCCTTATTTCTCTAATTCTAGAGGGATAAATGTTCCCCCACTATAATTCTATTCTTTCTTCCTACAATGTCTTGAAGGAGCCTTGGTGGTATTGGGTGTTACGGGTTGGGGTACTACCTGCAAGGTCAGTTTTTCAACTCCACCAGTTTCTCTGTGGAGAAAGAAGAGGCTTTCTGTTCCAGAAAGATTTAAAGTTTCAGTAACCCTGTATAGAGTCACTATGACTTGGAATTGACTCAACGTCCCACAACCACCAACATCAACATGACATACTGAAGTGATCTATTTTCACATCTCTCTCCAGAGCATGCTCTAGGATCCTCAAGGGCAGAGACGTTGCAAGATTTATTTCCACAACACTCAGCATAGAATTTACTACAGTCTTGGTAAATGCCTAGTTTTGTGTAAAGAAATTAAACCAATATACAAGCAGAATTTTTGAAATACCTGCTAGGTTTTTTGTTTTGTCTTGTTTTTTTTTTAAATACCAACCAGTGTCCTAGTCATGAAGAAGACACTCACCATCCATAATGGCTTCCCCTTTCAGACTCTTAATTCCTCTGGGCATTGCATTTCCATCAAGGTAGAATTCAAGTATGCCATCATCCAAGATAATTAGAAGATGAAGCCAAACATTTTCTTCAAAGTACTTCATGGCAGTCGTCTTAGCAATATACGTAATATTGGAACCCCAAGTTTTGTAATGAAGGGAAAGTGTCACATGGGATTCATTTGTTTGAATTTTTACCCCATAGTAGATAATTCCATTACCATCATCCTTTGCTATAACAAATCCATTTGTATTAGCATTAGGCATTACCCAAGCTGAAAATGTAAAGTTGGCAATTGTGCTGTTCTTGGAGGGATGGTATTTGGGATTAACAGTTCCAAATGCACCCTCTAATCCACTGAAGTACAAAGCATCTGTTCCACTATAGTGACGCCGCATGTGAGGTTGTAAATGCACAGTGCTGGGAAAACTTCCAACCAGTAAAAAATCTATCATTGGAGGCAATCCAGCCATGAGCTCATTGGTGTGTATTTCCCAGCCTACTCGTACATCACCAAAGACACCCTGTTGCCTCAAAATAGTGAAGTTTGTAATATAAGACATATCATCTTCTGAGAGGACATCTTCAGCCACTTCTCTCTGTAAACACTCTGGATCAAAGATGAAAATTCCAAAGGGGTCGTCATTGAATGGAATCATTACTGTCACCTGGAGATTGGTTTCTGCTAGTTGGCCCCCAGGACCTGGAGATCCACCTGTATTAAGAAAATGTATAACAAATGAGAAATCAGAATTTGAATTATTGCCTGAGGAGCATAAGAGGAAGCCACTACCCATGTGCCAACTTGTCATATTGTGGCAGCTTGTGTGTTGCTATGGTGCTGGAAGCCAAGTCATTAGTATTTTAAATACCAGCAGAGTTACACATGGTGGACAGAGTTCAGCAAAGCCCCCAGACTATGACAGATTAGTGCCAAAGGCCTAGTGTTCTACTTCTGAAAATAAGCCAACTAAAATCTATGGAACACATCAGAATATTGTCTGATATGAACTGGAAAGTGAGTGCCCAAGGTTAAGCAACAGTGGACTCAAACATTCTAATGATCACAAAGATTGTGTAGCAGTGGTCAGTATTTTGTTTGGTTGTATAGGCAGTCACCATGAGTCACACCTGATTCCACAGCAACTAAAACAACATAAAGTGAAGAGAAAGGAATGTGTTCAAAAAGAGAAGAAAACCTCATTTCCTCATTGATTACTGAAGAGTAGTGTCACTCTATGATTTTTTAAGAAAATACCTGATAATCTACTACTACAAAAATTATAGTAAAAGAAGTAAAAAGCCCTATGGGGCAGTTCTTCTGTCACTTCACTCAATGATACCTAACAAATGTTTTGTTTTGTTTTTATCACATTCTCAGGGGCACGATATCAAATAACATGCTTCAGTGTATTCTCAGCTAATAGCTGTGATGAGAAAACTTCATTATTTATTTTAGAAAACTTTATATGATAGCATAAAGACCAATCTGCTACCATAATCTTAATTTGTATTTCCTACTAATATATTATTGTTGCTGTGTGTCTTCAGGTTAGTTCCAACTCATATTGATGTTGTATAGGGTTTATAAGAGTGGCGAGTGGGCTTAAACTGCTAAGCTTGCAATTGTTAAGTGCCACCGAGTTGGTTCTGACTCATAGTGACCCTGTATCCGGTTTCCAAGGAGAAGCTGGTGAGCTTGAACTGCCAACCTTTCAGTTCAAGCTGACCTTGAAGTCCAGTGCATTAACCTGCAGCACCACACCAGGACTCCAAGCTTGCAATCAGTAGTGCTTTATTTGGCATGGAAAAAGTCTGTATATCAATTTTAGATTCCCCTAACTGAAGCAAGTTAAGATCACAAAGTGAATATTAACACAGCTAACAAGATATTTTAACATTTAAAATCAGACAAGGTAGACTTAATCTTTCATCCATTGCATTTACATGGAGTCCTGGTGTGACACTGTGGATTACGGCTCCAGACTGCAGTCAGTTTGAACTGCAAGGTCAGAGGTTCAAGCTCACCAGTTGCTCCTCAGAAACCCTATACAGGGTCGCTATGGGTTGAAACTGACTTGATGGCATAACAACACTATTTATTTAAAAATCTAAGATTTTGGTGGTAAAATTTAAAAAAATTTTAAATACACCACCTGATATGTTTACAAGTTTTAGAATATAAAATTCATTGAATTCAGGAATTTTATCTGGAAAAGCATGCAGAATTATTGGTTTTGCTCCTTCATCATCCATGAAATTAATAGTTCCTGAAGTTTCATAGAATTCTTGTCCAAGTTGTAAAGCAGAATCATTCTGAAACAGCTGCCATTCCACGGAAACATTGCCAAAGTGTCCTCGATGTCTCAAAATCCTACAAAAAATTAAAGAAAATTATTTTTATACAAAAAAGGTATAAGTAATAATTTTTTTAAAGGAGCTAAAATGAATAGCGAGAAATACCGTTAACTGATGGTACATGGAGGGAATTATAATCATTGTATTGAAAAAAAGTATATGATTTGTTGAATGTAAAACTGATGATGTGCCCTGTAAACTTTCACTCAAATCACAATAAAAACTTAAAAAAAAAAAGGTATAAATAATGAATCTAACTCTGTTAAGAGCTTTCTGTGTTATCACAGGAATGTACTTTTTCTATCACCTTTAAAACAAAACAACCAGCCAGTCCTACTAAGGAACTGTGAAGAATTGTATGGTAAAGGAATAAAAAGGTAAAACTTTAAATAATAAAGAGAAGGAATCTTTAAAACAATGACTTTCAAAATCCAAACAGAAAAATAAATGCTAAATAAAATAAAAACATTTCAATGAGAATTAGTAACTGTTCTTCAAAAGCACAATATAGGGTTAAGAGAATCACATACCACTTTAGAGAAGAGTTCCTAAAGACTTTGGATAATTCTAGTCTCTCAGACCTGACAAAGGATGGGAATTTGAGGTAAGGAAGAAAGGGAAAACAATTTCTGCTTACTAGCTAAAGAGTTGGAAGTTTTAACAAGTGACAAAAACATAAAAAAGTTACATCTTCTTCATATTATCAGATTTTAAATGTTATATTTTTTAACAATTTTTTTAATTTTGAAAGATTCACAATATTTCATTTTTTTACACAAATGTTTAACTTTATTTTTTCAAATTCTAAATTCATCTTATCCATATACACTTACCAAAATGCATTAGTTTTTCCTTCTTCTACTGCTTTATCTATGGGCTCAAAAGAAAAAATACCATTTGGATCATCATTAGCTTCAATTATCACAGTGGCTATTCCATATTGATACACTACTGTATCACCTATATTAAAAAGAAAAAACAAACGAAATGTCACAAAGATATCAAGCCTGCTACATAAATATGCTTGATTAAGAAATAGTTTATAACTGTGCTCAAATTTCAGAAAGAATTTCCTTACTGAAAGCTACTCAGTACATGCAAATGGTTGCTTTATTTCTTCAAATTGATATATCTGTACATATATATTAGCACACACATAATTACATATAAAGAGAAAGAGAGAGGTGCCCAAGTGCAAAACAGTTTCTATCCCTGTCTTTTGAGAAAATATTTAATTCCAAAGGAACTACGTTATTGAAAAGCATACAAGATAGTTTTTTCACAATAAGCTTCTATAGCTTATTTATTGTTGTTGTTATTAAATGCCATTGAGTCAGTTCCGACTCATAGCAACTCTGTATAGAGTTTCTAAGGAGTGATTGTTAAGTTTGAACCAACATCTTTGTGGTCCAAACCAACCTGCTGTCCAGGGCTTTATGCCAAGGTACCACACCAGGACTTTGGTTGTTGTTGTTGTTGTTCTCAGGTGCCATCAAGTCAGAACTGACTCATAGCGACCCCATGTACAGCAGAACGAAACAATGTCCGATCCTGGGCCAACCTCACTACCGCTGCCACACTTGACACCATCAGTGATGCCCTGGCTGATCCATCTCGTTGGGGGTCTTCCTTTTACTCTGTCCCTCCATCTTACCCAGCATGACATCCTTCTCCAGTGACTGTTCCCTCCTGACAATATGTCCAAAGTATGAGAGACGAAGCTTAGCCATCCTGGCCTCCAAGGAGCACTCTGGCTGCACCTCTTCCAAAACAGATCTATTGGTTCTTTTGGCAGTCCATGGCACTTTTAGTATTCTCCTCCAACACTACAACTCAAAGACATCAATTCTTCTATGATATTCCTTATTCACTGTCCAGCTTTCACATCCATCCATATGAGGTTATTGGTAGTGATTGTTATGTGCCATGGAGTTAGTTGCAACTCATCACGACCCTGTATAGCATTTCCAAGTCTGTAAATCTTTATGGGAGCAGAAAGCCTTATCTTTCTCCTGCAGATGTGCAGGTAGTTTCAAACTGCTGACCTTTAGATTAGCAGCCCAACTAGTGACCATTACATTACCAGAACCACACCAGGACTTCAGGTATCAAAAAAATATTTTCTAATTTCTAATTTCTGAGGTTGTATCTTTTGTCATAAGAGTAATGAAAGAATGTTCTCCCATGTAAACTATCACTCAATTCATAATAAAAACTTTAAAATAATAATAATAATTTCATAACATAAAAATACATACTGATTGGAATCATTGGTCCAAGTTTCCCTTTTTGATCTCTACCTTTAGGTGACAGAATTTGATCAAATCATACAAAGAACTAAGAAATTTCTGCAGTATTGAACTTGATTCCTCTCTGCCCAATTTTTTTTCCATAATATGTTAACACCATTGTTGCCTACACATTAGATATCTGCCTATCACTTTCTGAGGTTGATTTAACTTTGCTTTTGCTCCAGCTGAGGCTATGCAAACAAAATCCCTTCCCATCTTTACTCACCTGGTTAATTCTTAGTCATCTCTCAGCACCCAGCTCCTGCAATAATTCTTCCAAGAATTTTGAAGGTTAAGCTAAGTACCTGCCCACTGTGTTCCCATACTTTGCACTATGGTGAATCTATCAAAACCATCATCAACTATACGCATATAGGCATATCACTTGACTGCAAACTTCTTAATAAAATGCTAGCACATTCGATTCCATACCCTAGAGGAGCAGATACTCAACGTTGTTGTTAAGTGCCTTCCAGTCAGTTCCGACTCATAGTCACCCTGTATAAAGTGACTGAGGAGTGGCAGGTGAGCTTGAAACAGCAACCTTGTGGTTTAAACTGACCTTGCAGTCCAGCACATAAACCCACAGAGCCACACCAGGACCCAATAACTAATACAAATAAGACCTTGGGTTGTAAAAAGAATTAAAGTACTTGGCTGTTACCCAAAAGGTGCCCTGGAAGAATAGCCTGCTATTTATTCTACTTTTAAAAATCCAGTCATTGAAAACCCTATATCCAAATAGTCAATAAATACTTTAAACCAGAAATGGGAATGTAAGAGAGCAAAAGAACTGAATAGAAATAATGAAAATGGTCATGCACTGTGAAGAACGTAACCAGTATCACTCAACACCCAGTTTAGAAATTGTTGAAAGGAAACATGTACTTCTTAGAAAACAGAATATAGCAAAGTATTATTTAACAAGAAAACCCTTTGGAGCATGGTTCTACTCTGACACACCTGGTGTGAACATGGGATTGGAGCAACTCCATGGCAATTATTTTTATAAGCTATTTACGATGTTAGCTGAGCTCATGCAAATAATTTTTTTTTTAATTAAATGAGGATAACCATTGTAAAATTATAGAAACAGGAATTCTATATAGTCATCACATTAAACAATTGATATAATACTACTCATCTGCACTTCATAATTCGCCAACTGAAAAAGTAAAAAAGGACATAAAAAGTAGACAGTAAATCAGACAACACAGAATAATAAAACAACACAAAGAACAATGATAAAATTCAATTTTGACAGAGTTTTGCTATTACATACACATCATTAATAGTATTTAAAAATTGTATTTACTGTACAGGTAGAAGCTGTATAACAAAAAGGGGGAGTAGTTAACCTTACATTCCAGGAATAAAGAACCCAAGGACAATCAAGAGAGAAGCACATAAGCAGAATGTGGGACCCTATCCATAGAAGCAGCAACACCAGAGACAGAGATGGAGGTGATGGCATGGAGACACAGAGCCATCTGAGGACTCTAGATTCATAGAAAGACAAAGGCTCTGTGCTGGCGAGCAGGAGGCTGGCTTGCAAAATGGGCAATTTGTTTAAAGGATTATACATTCCTGAGTTTTTTTGTGTGCCTCAATAATAATAATAATTTGCATAGGGTAAATTGACCATTTTTAGCAATTGCTCTAAATGTGGTGACATATTTTAATATAAAAAACTCTGGTAGCATAATGATTACAAATAGGGCTGCAAACCACAAGGTCAGCAGTTTGAAACTACCAGCTGTTCCGTGGAAGAAAGATGAGACTTTCTGCTCCCATAAAGATTTACAGCCTCAGAAACACTATACAGGGTTGCTATGAGTCAGAACCGACTGCATGGCACATAACAGCAACATTTTAATATAATAACTCACTCAAAGGACATATATTAAGAGTAATTTGTTGTTGTTGCTATTAAATGTCATCAAGTCAGTTTGGAATAATAGCTACCCTGTTCAGGATTTCCAAGGCTGTAAGGGAACAGTCAATGGAAAAGGATGTCATGCTGGGTAAGGTGGAGGGTCAGAGAAAAAGAGGAAGACCCCTAATGAGATGGATTGGCCAGGTGGCATCATTGATGGCCTCAAGTGTGGCAGCGGTAGTGAGGTTGTCCCTGGATCGGACATTGTTTTGTTCTGCTGTGTACGGGGTTGCTATGAGTCGGTTCCGACTTGATGGCACCTGACAACAACAACAACAAATCTTTGTGGAAGCCGACAGCCTCATCTTTCTTCTGCATAGCAGCTGGCAAACTCAAACTGCTGACCTTGTAGTTTGCAGTCCAATGCTTATGGTACAGAGCCACCTTGCTTCCCACTCAGAACAATAATTACCAAGAAAAACACCACTACTAGTACTCCCACCACTGGTTTCTCAGGACCTTCATGTTAGAAGAACATAAGAAGAACAGAAAAAAGAAAATATAAGTAAAAATACAAAATCTAGAGCTTTCTCTCATCTAATTCACAGTAACTAAAATCACTAACTTGTCAAATTCTATCATTTAAAGAAAAATATTGCAGACAAATGCAAGGACAATATAGATAGACCCATAGCTCAGATCAGTAAGTAATTCATTCATTCTCCCTCTCTCTTTCTCTCTCCCATCAATGTATACATTACCCCAACAATATATTTTACAAAGTAAATAAGTAAACATCTTCTTGCTAGATGCATAACAAAAATACAAATGTGTATAAGCATATGTACATTTGTGTGTGCATTCGTATGTTCATTATGTCTCCACACTATGGAGCAAAACCTCATAGTTGTTGTTGTTAAGTGCTATCAAGTTTGTTCTGACTAATGGAAACCGCTTACCGAGTTTCCAAGTATGTAAATCTTTGCAGGTATGGAAAGTCTCATGTTTCTCCCACTGAGCAGAAGCTTACATATTGTACAGATCCTAGTTTTTAAATACCACTATTCACTAATCAAAGCTAAGGCTTGGAAAAATGGCTGATTTCAGGATTGTGGCAAAGAAAGTACAAGATAAAACTTATAACTGCTCAAAGAATTATAAGTATTCATCAAAAAGACAAAGCACCATCAGAGCAAAC